ACACTCAATTCATGTCAAGGAAGAGCCAGTGATTGCAGAGGATGAAGACTGTCCAATGTCCTTAGTGACAACAGCTAATCACAGTCCAGAATTAGAAGACGACAGAGAGATTGAAGAAGAGCCTTTATCTGAAGATCTGGAATGAGAACTGACTTGTGAAACCTCAGCGTGAAGGGACATATCACTGACCTTCATAACCACTCCACAACCATGAATATTTGACAAATTTTTACTGTGACTATTTATTAAGCATGGATAAAGGAGACAGCCCTAAAGGAACTTACTAAGCCAGCCCTTTGGGATTCAGTACCAACAGGCAAATTGCTTGTTTTCTTCTTCTTTTTTTTTTTTTTTTTTAGAAAAAAGACAAAAACTGATTTTCTTGAAAAAAAAAAATGAACTGTTCTTTCTATAATGGCTTTGCCCATTTAAAAAATGTGGCTCTTAAGGGTTCATGAAATGACTGAATATGAGGATACATGTCCTGTAGAAAGCAAATGCGCCTCATATACTGCCAAAAATAGTGTTAGTTTCATTAATGTGAATTTTCCAGCATTCAGTAGTTGTAATGTTAGAAACAATTGCTGGTCAAGTTCAACTTGTTGCTATTGTTTTTAATTTGCACAGGAGTAGTATCAGAAATTAGTGTCACTGCTTGTATCTAGCTGAATTTTAAACAACAGAACATTAGTTTTTTATGTTGGTGCCACCAACTGTAAATGACATAAGTTAGTTATTACAAAACACAGTAATTAGACTGTTGCAACCATCTAAAACCTTAGGCTTCCAGTCTGTGCTGTTAGTGTTAAGATGTAAAGTGCAATCCTAAGCTAACATTATCTGTGCAAGCACCATAGAAACATTTGCATATCTGCATAGATCTTACAACTGTACTCTTTACCTCCTTGTGATAAAGCTTTGTCTACCTGCAAACACAGTCAAAGGCTACAGCTGCAAACCAAAGCCAACTCTAACCATGGCCAAGAGCTCAAGGACAGAAGCAGCCACATGCTTTGGTCAGCCTTCTGTAACTTCAATTAGTACAAAGGAACCTTTTCCATGAACTACCTGCTGTTTTCTGATGACCTCTGGGATCTTTTCATTTAGCCCTAAACAAAGAAACAAATATGACAAAAACCACAACTAAAAAAAGTTAATTCAGTCACAGAGTAATCTTCTGAGGCCAAAAGTCCATCTAAATGCAATGAAGATTTGCTTTCATTAAAGACAGAGGTGAGGACAATATCTGCAGTGGAAGTTATGATATGCTAGAAAGCAACAAATGTGGATCACTGACCAAAACGATTATGTACTTGATGCAAATGCAGATTGCATATTGTTATATATATATAGTACTTTGTGTTTTTGTTTTTCTTCATTCAGTCAGTTATTTTCAGTGGTGAATACATGTTGTTAGAAGATGTCTTGTATGGTCTTAATCTTTGTTGTGTACTATTTTTTTATAGTCTTAAGTTATAATGAAAAAACAAAAAGTAGGAACCAAACATAAAAGGTCTAGTAAAGCCAAAAATTAATTTCATATTGATTTTAAAGTGATCTAGCTGAGTTTTTACACTGAAAGCAAAGATTATAGCAATTGTAGTCCATGGTATTTATTTTCAGTCAAACCAAAGTTACATATAATTCTGCCTCTGCTTATACGGGATATTAACACTAACAATACACTCCCTTCAAAGACTTGCACAGGCCAAATTGTTGGAATGCTGGTTTTCCTGACAACTCCAAACCCCAAAACTATGATAATGAGTTATGGTGTAGTTGAAAATAGCATAGTCAGATGTTTGCTTAAAACCTAGAAACTTTACTTGTTGCTTTTCATGTGCTGTGCCAAGTCTTGATAATACTTTTTCCCCCAACCAAGGGACCTCATAACCTGATTATGGTTATTGCTTTACAAACAGTTTTGACAGAAGGTGGCTGCTAGAGCTTAACATATGTACCAGTTCCATGTGATGGAACCGGTTCTTGCAAACTAAGCTCATCATTGATTCTTTGCTGAAGTCAGCAAATAGAGTTAGAGAGATACCCAGTCATCTATCACACCAAATAAAAGGACATAACGGCTTTCAAAAGGGTTTTCCCACTTACCCAAAAGGCTTTCTGAAAGCTTCTACCTCTGCAAAAAAAAAAAAGAAAAAAAAAAAAAGAAAAAAAAGAAAAAAATTAGAACAATTATGGCAGATTGCATGAAACGTGAGAACGTCACAGTAACTGCTACTTTTCATTATGTTTGTCTTTGGGTCATGATCAATGAACTGGAAGTTTACAATATGGTATTAAAAGAAAGATGGGTACGGTGAAGGATGGTTTTCAGTCATCTAAGATCCTACCGTAAGGATTATCTGAAAGGAAAAATGGGTCTTTCAGATGCATGTTTAAAAGGCTTTGATGGACTGGAAGTAACTGTGAGAGTTGTACCATCAGGAGGGTGGCCTAAGACTACAATGCTAAAGTATGCATACCTCAGTTAGAAAACTTTTGAAAGGAAGTCTCAGCCACAGAATGCATATACCTGTAGAGTTTTGCATGGGTTTTATATGAATACAATTTTAAAAAATAGCTGCTTGCACATTATACCAGAAAAACCTCCAAAACTGCAATTGCTTTGAAAATAGATTTTAGGTTTTTTGGAGTTTTCTGAAATGCTTGGTCTGTATTTTGATAATTGTGCATATTATGTAAAAATGTTGGTGGACCCATAAATGACCAGACTTTTTCTAAGAAAAATGTTGCTTTAATGCATTTCATGAATTTTTACTCTTATATCATTGCTTGCTAGTAATAGCAAATCTGCTTTTCTGCATCTGCTTTGCGTAGCTATTGTAAGGCTTTGAACTAATGTATGTATTTATTGCTTGAACTTCTGTGCATACCTTATAAAGCATAATGTCTGACAATTTAAATGGCTCATGTATTCTTGCTTCTATCATAAGCTGATTATGGGGACTATGATCTTTTGTAAACGGCAAATTTTAAACTGTAGCACAAACATCTGTTTATGTATTGGTGGAATATACCTGTTTTATTTATCTTTTTTGAGGTAAACTAATTTTTGATACTTTTCATTACCGTGTACTATGTTCATACTTTGAATTCTCTGACGTTAGAAGTCATGGTTGAGAATTGTAACAGCTGTTATTCGTTCTGTATTCATGGCTTTCACTGCTGAATAAAATAAAGGACCAAACCTAGGATTTGAAAGAAAACTGTCTACCTCTAACACCAGGGAGTTATCAGATTTTATTTTACATAGTTTTAGTCTACAAAGACACAATTGCTTAAACCTAGGGGGCTTAAGGCTTATATTCTATGTGGTTGGATTCATGGCACAGTTGTACTGTTTGAAAATCAATTAAAATTTTATGTGAATGTTACAAGTATTTGGTAGAATTACCACTAACTGGGTTTTCTTTAGATGACTCAGTTATGGAGAAAATGTCATCAGCATTCTGTGTCTACAGCTGCTTAACTTCATAAGAATGCATTTCTTTATGATTAGGGAATCGAAGAATAGTCAGCTAGGAATAGAGCTACAGAAGTACACTTAAATAAACCATCCTGGACTTTAATGTCCCTGGGCAGATTCAGTCGCAAAATCCAATACGATATTTTGTAAAGTTTTCAAGTTGGACATTTACATTTTTGAGAATTTTGAGACTTCATCTTACACATGCCAATATTAACACACATTTGGACAATAGCTTTATTAAGTCTATAAAGCTATTGAAAAGAACATGGCTTACCCTTGTTATTTCACTTGTTCAGGTTGCAATGAAAGGTTTTTTTTTTTTTTTTTTTGGTCCATGAACACTTGACATATCTTACTTAGCAAAAAAGAAGGATGTACATTTTACTATAGAATTAATGTATGAACAGTGTGTCACTGCTATTGGATGTAAAAATGTATATGAAACCATTTCATTCAGTTGATTACATTTCTGAAGTATAAATAAAAAAGTCTAATTCTTTTTGACCCATTTATAACCACTAGGATTTTATTCTTTCGGAGAGACCATTCTACCATGCCAGAGCAAAGTCATAAATTTGTGTACACATGTCCCACAATTTGCTTAAAATCATTTTCTTAGGGATTGGGGATTCATAAACCAGACCATACTCAAATGTAGTCAATAAAGATGGAGGCTGCTTGTCAAATGCGTTCAATTTAAAACTGTCTTCAGGTTCCAAATTGCTTCCCTACACAATCATCTCATGTTTTCATGTTTTTATTCTGATAAAATTTGACATTATAAATTCTGAACATTAAAAAAAATGCCAGGGGAAAACATGATTACTCTTTCTAACTTTACTACTTTTTTTGCTTTTTTGTCTTTTTTTTTTTTTTCTGCCTCTAAATATCAGTCACACCCACAGCCTCCAGCCATGGTTTAGGGGAATATATCGGAGATAGGTAAGTAGCCTCCAAGGAAATGCTTTGTAGGAGATTAGGGATCTGTTTCAGACTCCTATTAGTGGAAAAAAAAACAGGCAAGATACCGCCTCTGAATAAGGAAAGTACGCTTCTTTCTTTAACCTAAATTCTGAAATTCCTAACAATCAGAAGTAAAAGGAAAATGAATCCGTTGAGAATTTTTTAATTTTGTACGTAACATTTTCTGTCATCCTAGTGAAAGAGTAACTTGACTAAAGAACTTTCCACAGGATTAAAAATGGCTGTAAAAGAAATACGAACATGAGATTAATGTTCTTGAACATTAGATTTTTTTCACTGTCAATTAGTTGAAAGTAAATGATTACCAATCTACCCTATTCAGTGTATTTTGTTAACTTACTAAAGGCTATATACCAAGATGTGAATCCAGTCTGAGCATTTTCTATACTTTAATATAAGGAGAACAATTTAGAGATTAGAAGTAACAAGAAATGAGTAAAACTGATTTGGCTAATGTTTTGTACTTAAACCTAAATTCAAATTCATGTCATCCTATAGTTGAAAACAATTGTCCAGGTATTTTGTGTTGTTGAATCAATGGAAGATTCAGGTGCTTTGTAAAAAGTCGGTCACGCGATTACTTCTGAATTTTTAAAATAACACACAAAAAGATGTCAACTTAAAAATCTAAGCAGACAAGAAATACAGATGGCAAATCACACTTCAAGTATTTTCTTGAACAAAGCTAAGCATCCAACTCCCTACTGTTTGAAATCTTTTACGAAAGGATATTAAGGCAAATCCTAATGTTTAAATGCTGATGAAGGAAAAGAACATAAAAGCTCTATCTTTCTGTCCTTACACTTTTGTTTGTTTGTTTGTTTTTAAACTGCATGGAAAACTGTAAATACCAAGACACAAGATAACTATAAGAGAATATGTAACTTGAGAAAATAAGGTGTGACTTTACCCACAATTTGACGTATTGTTCCCTTCACCCTCCGTATGTTCAGTTGCCATCAGCACAGGCTAAAAGAAACTGTGTGACACCTGAATAAATGGAAAGACCAGCCGTAGTAAAAGAAAAAGTTTATAATTTTCTGGGAAATTTGCACCTTACAGGTGATAGCCGTATTACTTAAGCCAATATATACACATAGGCACTCACACACATAGTCCAGGAAGGAAACAGAATCAGAACCTTAAGCTCCGGATATACATGATCACTTTCACACTCTGTTGTGAAGGTTCACTTAAAAATCTTTGAATAAATATCAGTCAATCTCTTTCCTAAAGCTGAAGCTGATCTTATCTTCCAACTTCATGGATCTATAGTTTTCAGCACTCATATAGAAGATTAAAACATCCACATTATAAAAATTGTTCCTCTTTTCATGTTAGAGGAGCATTGGGATCAAAGGTTTGACAGTGAATATTCACATTCAGAGGGGATGGTGAAGAGAAAGAAAAAATGAAAAGAGTTATTAAAGAAGATGTTCCTATTATGACCAGACATAATATGTATTTTTTCAACTCTTCATGTCATGATTATAGCACTGAAGAGAACATCAATTTGAAACTGGACTAGCTATGTGATTCCCTTCTCAATCACTCATAGATCCTCCTTGTTCTCAATAGCAATTTGCTATTGCCATGTGGAAATTGTGTAGAACAGCTTCACATTCCCATGATAACATCCACAGATGCAAAGCCTGAAGCCACCATTCTCTTCCTCCCTGTGGAGGCTGTGGACAGCCCTGGAGTCATGGGAAATGTGATATGTAGAAAGGACACCTGACTTCCTGCTTTCCTTGAAGTATATTGATAGGGTGCTATAGAAAATGCAACATTTTCACCATGAATGTGAACACATGGACACAGGGAGGGGAGCATCACACACTGGGGTCTGTCGGAGGGAAATAAGGGATGGACAGTGGGGGGTGGGAAGTTGAGGAGAGAGACCATGGGGAGAAATGCCAGATATAGGTGATGGAAGGCAGCAAATCACACTGCCATGTGTGTACCTATGCAACAATCTTGCATGTTCTTCACATGTACCCCAAAACCTAAAAAGCAATAAAAAATAAAATAAATAAAATAAAAGCTTTCAAACTTCAAAAAATAAAATAAAATAAATAAAATGCAACATTTTGAAATTACCAATCCTCTTTCATCAAATGTGCTGGGGGGAAAAACTCAAGAGAAGTCTCAGGAAAAAGTCATAAAAATTTAAAAAGTCACTTCTAATATAAAGTTATTATGATCATAAATTTACATACCTTCCATAAGCCAAAAGATTAAGCTTTTTGGAGAACAAAAGCTAAGGAACATTTCAGTGAGCATCTAACTGAGTCTTTGGAGTTGAACTGTGCACCATTATTTAAATGTTTTGTTTAATGCCCTTCACCAAAGAAAGGAGCTCCTATACAGGTAATCCACAAGAAACCATATCAACCCAGTCTCAATAGGGTTGAGGCTCAATAGAAATGTTTCATCTGCAAATATTAAACCTAGATGTTGAAAGTCTTATAATAATATTAAATGCATGCTAGTAGTGCCATGCATTTTTTATAGTTTTGGGCTCTCTAATAATAGAAATCAGTCACTTTCAAAGTTAATTTTTTTAAAAAGAAGATTTTCAGATAATTAAACGAATTCTTAAATCATTTTATAGATCTCACTGTTTTCCCAAAAACCACAAAATGCTATGTGAGCCACCTGCAATAATCCAGCATTCTTTGTTGTCCCCAGTCTGAGTGAGACACCTAGTTCTCCAGTATATTCTGCTTATTTTACCATACTTCTTTTATTTACCATTAAAGAAGGTTTATGTAATACTCATTGTGATGTACAATCAGTTAGAGTTATTTGACAATACTTATTTCATCAATACATACCCCATCATTTTAGAAATAGTCTCCACCACAAAATCAAAATATCTGATTAATTTTGCCCTTTGCATAAATTTAAAACTGTTATTATTGGATAGTTATTATGTCAATAGTTGTCATTTTGTTAAAAGAATAGACTGGAGCATTAGTGTTCTACAATTTTCTAAGGAAGAGTATTTTGACACTAAAATTATTATTTCTAGGTTTTAGAAAAAAAATCACTGGGTCATTTGAAAAGTACATATGATCTGTAAAATTTGAGAGACAGTCACCTTGAGATTAGGCATCCAAAGAGGCTTCAAGCACTTTGGCAGAAGTTAAGTGACATATTAAGGCCTATTTCCAAAATGTGGAATTAAAGTCGGAGGGAAAAAAATTTCATGTTGTGTGCCAAAGAACTCCAAAGTTATGGCTTGAACAGAAGAATTCATTTTTCATAACTCAGGTCTCATACGCAATTACATTTAAGTTCATCAGGAGGTTCATAGGTAGCAACTTTTTGTTTAGAGAGCATTGTAACTATTCAAAAGGTGAGCTACAAATCAAAAAGCTTTGCATTCTCAGTGAGTCACGAAAACATCCACTCACTTGTCTTTTGACTTTTAGGAAAATACTACCAGTATTGAATAATTCCATATGTTCATGGCTCAGCTAAAACAGAGCCCTTTTTCATCTGAGGGGCTTCCTGTTCTAGCCCATTGGAAAGAGAGCAGTGACGGGGCAGTAACAAGCTAGATTGTGTTGGTCCACACAAGGTCTAAGAAAAGTAACATCAAACGCCGGCTCTGGATCTGAAATGTGAAACTGGTTTCATGTCATTTGCCAACTCTAACATGAATGCACATTGTCTGCCCGGCACATAGTAGAGGCTCAGGAAATACCTGATGATGGGCTCTGAGGCCATACCCCGACTATACAAGAA